GTTATTACTGGCACTGAGGCAGCCTGGTGAAAGGACAGTACTAGCACCTGATATTTGCTTTCATTCATAAAACAGGTGCCAAGGGCCGCTTGTTCCGTGTCCTTTCTCTCTATCTCTCACCTGTGTCATCGCCACGCCCCGGCCTGCTGGATCACAGCTGCCAGCACACCTGATAATCATGTTGGTCGGTTCTGAAATGATTGTGATTAAAAATGTCTTAACCTGTCAGAATACATAAAATTGCCCCTGGAAGTTTGACTGGAATGTGCTGGACACAAGCCCTGGGATTTTTGTAGTGAAAATTCAGCAGTCTTCATGGTATCCTTGTAGGTTTTGTAGCACAGACATGCTTAGATTTTCACTGTCCTTTGAACTCGGCTCTAATGCAGTGACTTCCAAAGAGAGGATATTGATTACACCGAACATGGGTTTTTCTGATGAAGCTATAAAACATTTGCCTGACTTGGAGATGTGGATCGTGCATTTGGGAAAAAAGATGGTTAGAATGCTGAGTTTAAAAATTACTTAAGAAGCCACAGATGTCTAGGTGGTATTTAATTCTATTTTTAATTCACAATTTTTGGCTAAAAGGTGACCTTTTGTAGTCACATAATGAGGTCAGTGGCCATGAAAGGTTCATGGTCTGTAGTGTCCCCTCTGGAGGCAAGGTTGAGGGAGTGTTGAAGGATTTGCGAGTTGATTCACAAGTCTCCTGCCCTCTTTTCCACTTCCTGCTTTTATCTGGTTCCACCAGTGCTTCTTGCCCCCACTGAGGCTCACAGCCAAGAGACTGAAGCTGTTTGTAGGGTACCTGAGGGAACATGGGAATGGCCAGAGGCAGCCAGCCAGGGCTCTGAGGGATCAACAGCTCTGTCTTGTTTCCCAGGCTCACCCCATGGGATTGCAAAGTTCTGTTTTACAACTACTGTTCTGACCTTCATGGAATTAGATTTCTTCACTGCATTCCATGTGGAACATAGTCACTTGAAGGGGAATCGCTTAATTAGAAAAAGGTCTTATAATGTGGCATTAAAAAAAAAAAGACCAGTAGAAAAATTATATAGTGTGATACCCAACTTTACGAAGTTCAGAACCAGCAACACTACACATATTGTCTGGGAATTCCTACATACGTGGTAAAATAAAGGAAATCAAGACAATCACAAACAAAATTCATGATTAGTGGTTACTTCTGGGGGAGGGGAGAGTGAGGTTGGACTGGGAAGCCCACACAGAGAACTGAACAATATTAATGATGTGCAAGCTCTTAAATTGGATGTTGGGTGAATAATTTTATTATTAATATGCTTTATAACCTACACATATGCTTTTTGGTAATATACTTCATAACAAAAATAAATTAAGAAGTAAAGAATATTTAGAAAGATAAGATCTTAACACAATTTTCATTCCTGCCACTAATTGTATTAACAAATTTTAAAATTACAAAAATAATATAACAATCTTAAGGAAAAGTCAGGGGGAAGGAACATCTGTCATACCAATCCTCATAGCACAATTACTGTTTTATTTATTTTCTTCCAATATGAGTGGTTATGTCCTTAGTTATCATCGTGACTCCTTATATTTATACACGGTGGGTGATGGTCTTTATGGCCATTAGTTTTAATGGCTGAATAATATTGCCACGAATGGTTAGTATTGCAGTGTAATCGTTCCTCTGTGGTGGAATATTTAAGTTGTTTTAACTTTTCTGCTGATACAGATCATCTTCAATGTTCTTTCATTCATCCCACAAATAATTTACTTACGTGTAGGCCATTCTGCTCCATGCTAGAATTATAGTGGTAAGCACCAAGAGCCATAATCTATGAGCTTGAGCAACTGAGAATCTAATGACTAACAGTTCTTGACTGTATTTAGCATTTTAATCACATAATCCTTAGACTACAAACAACCAAACCTTTTTATTTTGAGGGAATTGTAGGCTCACGTGCAGTTATAAGAAACAATATAGAGAGATCTCATATATCCTTCACCCAGCTTCCTCCAATGATAACATCTTGAGTGACTGTAATTCCACAGCCAGGAAATTGACATGGATACAACCCACCAGCCTTACTCAGATTTTCCCAGTTTTACACGTATTCCTTGATGTGTTTCTGTATAATTTTATCACATGCGTAGGTACAGTCAGGGTACAAAACAATTCCACCACAAGGATCCCTCAGGCCACCCTTTTGTAGCCATGGCCACCGCTCTCCCCTTCCCTCCCCCCCCACCCACCCACAATGCTGGCAACTGTGAATCTATTCTCTACCACTGTAATTTTTTCATTTGAAAGATAATATATAAATGAAATAATTCAGTATGGAACCTATGGAAATGGAGTTTTTCACCCAGCATAATTCCTTTGAGATCCATCTAAGTTGCTGTGGGTATCAATAGTTTATTTCTTCTTATTGCTGAGTAATATTCCATTGTAGAGCAGTATCACGTTCATACACCCATTTGGAGGACATTTGGGCTGTTTCCAGTTTTGCACTATTATGAATAAAGCTGCTATGAACTTTTCCTCAGCCTTGATTTTGATGATTATATGTAAAAGGAGATTAGTAAGACTTCAGGCCTCTGTACCTCAACTACTAGTGTCTATGCCTAACTTTGGGGTTTCTCTGTAGAATCCAGAGTGAGCCTCTGATGAATTATATGGTGTACTGGCTTTAATTTTTTGTGTCTCAAAAATATGTTGTCTATATAGCTAAAATCTTCTTTTGTTCACGTAACAAGTGAAGCATATCCTGATGCCATCTTTATTGTCCTTTAGAGCTTACGAGGTGAATGTCCAATTTTCTGTTGAGCTGTTTGTCCCTTGAAGAATGGGTACCTGTTAGAGCCCCCCTTATACAGAGGGGTTGCTCCTAGACTTGTGCTCAGCTAATGCCTTTGATCGCTAGAGTAGATTGAGGGTATTTGGAAAGGACAGGATACACCAGAAGGAAAAGGTGAGGTTGGACTGTAAACCTAATGCCCTGTTCTTATGACTTAGCTCCAAATGTTAAATAAATATCCAAATTTTTAAATTCTTTTTCAAACCCAAGAAAAACCAATTAGTCATGACAGCCAATTAGACCTGCTGCATGTTTAGAAAGGAAACTGGGTCCTGGGGCAAAGCAGATGGAGGAGGGAGGTAACTGTTCCCTGCCTGCCACCACCCCCCATCCCCCCAGCCCCCAACACACACACAGGTACACACACCCACATATCTGCACCTGAGCTGTTCTGCTGTAGGGCAGATTCTGCTTCTGTGTTTTCTGACCTCTCGTGAGCCTAAAACAGAAGGCATATGGGCTCTGTGGTGGAATATGTTTGGAGGTGGAGTAGTGACCTGTTTGGTGACTTGTGTGTTTGTGATTTAGGTGTTTAGATTTTTTATTGTTTTTATTTCTTTTAAATGAATGGCATGGTCCTCACTTTCCAAGGAAGGCATGAAATCCAGGAACCCCCAGGGGCTGAGCAAGCAGTGTGCTGTCTGTGGCTGACCTTGGCCCCAGTGATGACTGACCTGGGCCTGCCTGGAGGCTGGGTCAGCGGCAGGAGAGCGTACCAGGGAGATGTGGTCTTCTGTCAATGAGTCAACAGTTGGGGGCTCCGGAAAACAATTCCGTTATCCCAATTTGCTCTCATGCTTTTTATTACTTGTTTGTGTCCCCTTGCTCTTAACAGAAAGTCTAAATCTTTAACTGAGTAAAGTCTAAAATCCAGGCCCAGTGGTGTCTAGCCTGTGCTTACCTCACTGAGACTCCTGGTGCCCTTCGCACTCTGCAGTGCACTTGCATGGGCCATCCTTTCCATAGCTTCGTGTTCCTGCTCCCCACAGGTCTTGGTGGGTGCCTTTGTTTTGCCTGGACCATCATTTGCCCTCCTTTTCTCCCCAGCATTTGTCAGGTCCTCCTCAGACCTTGGCTTAAATGCAGATCCCGCATGCAAGCTTTCCATACCCACCAAACCACGTCTTAAGCCACTTGCACGTGCATCTCAGGGTACCCTGTCTTTTCCTTCACTGCCCGCCTCCCCACTTCTGATGAGGTTTATTGATTCTTGGTTTGCTGAACCCCCACCCCTCCCGGGCCTTGGTGAAGGTGACGGCCACGTCTCTGTTAGCCATGGACTTTCTAGTGCCTGATGCAGTATCTGTCACACAGTACCTGCTCAGTAAATATTTGTTGAAATAATGAATTGACTCAGAGAAATGGTCACTTCCTAACATGTACTTAGTAGGTGTAACATGGAATTTCTTATTTTAAAAATGCAATTAGTACCTGTTTGTTAAGGTCTAGGTATATATTCCTATAAAATTATCAAACTGCCCTTGAAGTCTGTGATGATAATTTTTTTTTTCCTTTCAGGCGGGGACCAGGGTTTACTGAACATGTTTTTTAGCAGCTGGGCAACAACAGATATCAGAAAACACCTGCCATTTATTTATAACTTAAGCAGCATTTCTATATACTCCTACCTCCCAGCATTTAAAGCGTAAGTACAAACGGTTTAATTGTTATTGGGGATGGTGGGGGCAGGGAGTGGGTTTAATATTTTTGGAATGTATTGTCAGTCTGACGGCAATAACAGGTGGGAACTTTGAGGGAAGTCTTTCTCACATAAGAAACATGAGATGGGGAGAGGCCTTGATGTTATTGATCGCTTTGTGCTTGGAGTAACTTTGAGGGCACTTAGCTGCCTTATGGGGAAAGGGTCCCATTGGTTCCTGGGGTGCCTGGCCCCTCCGATAAATCATCTGCACATCATGGTCAAACACAGACTGGGTGCAGACCCGCCTTCTGCCCGTGCTGCCTGCTGAGTCTGTCTCCTCTCTGGTAAAATGAGGGTGTTAGCAGTTCCCTCCACGTGGCTGCAGGGACTGAGCAAGATGCTGGCCCAGTGTGACGTCATGGTCAAGAGCAGGGGCGGTGGAGCTGGAGCCCCTCAGCTCACATCCTGGAGTAGCTGCTTCCTGGGTGGTTCCTGGTTACCAAGCTCCTAGTTCAGTGGAAGTTGGGCTAGTTACTAGACTTTTCTCTGCCCTCCGGGTCCCTCAAAGGTTATGGTGAGCATTTAGGGAGGTAATCATGTGAAGTGGTTGGAACAGGGTCTGGCCTACCCTTAGCACTCAGTAAACATTAGGCTGTTAGTCCCTTTTGCTTGAGAGGTGGTATAGCACAAGCGTAGCCTCTGAAGCCACAAAGCCACGGCACATGGTCTCACTCTGCCATTTACTTGCTATATGGCTTACGCTCTGTGCCTCAGTTCCCCATCTGCAGAACAAGGAGGAAAATAAGACCTCCCTCAGAGGGTTGTCATGAAGATGAAGTGAGGCCACACATGTCAAGTGCTCAGTGAACGTGTTGTTTTTGGCAGTGTGCTTGTTTGGCACTGTCCCTGGTGCTGTCCTAATTCAGCAAGTAATATAGCCTCATTGTAGCACTTGTCTCACTGAGTTCTAGGCCCTGTTCTTTAGCCTCTGACTCATTTGTGCTGCACCTAGAAGATGATTCAGGTTTCCCAAATGGAGGCCAAGCTGTCAGGTTAATCCCTAGACAGCTGTGAGCAGCGAAGCTCTCCGTTGAGCTGGGCTTGGTGCCCCACTCTGGGCCTCACGTGGGGATTCCTGAGTGAGCAGAAAACAAACGGCCTTTCACTCTTCGTATTTCACTATCCCGAGTCTGCTCTATAAGTCTTGCACCACAGTAATGAGCATGTCTGGCTTTTTGTGGCAAAAATGTTTCCTTTTCTGTTCTTTTCCGGGCAGACCCTGGGGTAGGGGAAGCATTGTTTTTCCTCTCAGTCCTTGGCCTTATAAGGAACAAACCTGTCTTGCTTGAAAATGTGGGCCTGATTCTTTTTAATCCTTGTTGCTTGTAACTAACCCTGCCAGTTTGAACAGTGTTTCTGCAAACCTGATAGCTGACCCCCTAGAACTGAATTTGTCTGTAAGAGGGCAGTTGCTTAACGTCATTGACTCGATTCAGCTGAACAAGCAAAAAGATGAGCGTGCATAGGAGAAGGCATCATTATTGTGAGCGCTTCTGCTTGCTAGTCCACTTATTTCTGCCCCGTGAGCATGGGCTCTCGGGTGAGGTTGTTGGGGAGACGTGACTCTGACATCCTCCCAGCTGGTCTCAGTTCCCACACAGAGTCATCCTAGCTTTTAAAGATTCGTGTTGTCTGTGTAATGTGCCCCTGGTGCCTAGCAACTATTTTCCCTATGGTTCATTTGGAGCTCATCTGATATTCACCTTACCACCCAAACTGAACACACTGTACCTTTCTATCATAGCCTGGTGCACACAGACACTGCTTGCCTTTATTTTATTTTGACAAAGAAAAACAAGCTGGTGAAGCAGTTTTTAGGCAGAAGATAGACTCATTTGCCTCCCCAGTGGTTTTTATATCCTCTAAATGAATTTCCCAGAAAAAAAAGTTTGAGATGTAAATTGCCAAAATGGTTAGGATGGTTCCTTCTTAGCTCGACAGATGAGTGCTAATTTTGGAAATCTCCTTGGATTATTGCCGTAATCATAGAGTATATGACGCACTGAGGAAGTTGGGAGTGATACCATCCATTAGCCGGACGTCACCTGGCCTGTGGCCTGACAGGAGCTAATGGTGCATCTGTGCAGCTCACGCTTGGGGACGTCAGCTCTGCATTTCTGCGATAAGACTGCTCAAAGTGGTGCCTCGTCTCACCCCACTGCTCTCTACTTAGTAATGTTGACACCAGATCAGAGAATTCCTTTTCCCTTCCCTCTGCCAGAAAGTGCTTTTGGTTTTTGTTTTGTTTTGTTTTGTTTTTTTGCAGAGATCCATCTCCAGAGACATTTTTCCTGACATTTTTTTTTTCCAGTTGGGAAGGGCTGAAAAGGCAGATAGTTACATCTATTTTTTTATTTCAAGTTAATATAAAATTGTGGTCCAAATCTCTAAGCTGAAGTGGACTGTCCTGACCGTTGGGGCCACCACTACTATGCCACAAAGAGCCCGGTGGGCCTCTGGGAACTCCCCATGAATTTGAAACCCACTGTTGGGCTCAGGATACCCTTGAGTGGCCTCCAGGACCGAGTGGCTCTGTGATTCCAGGCCTTTCCTAGGACAGCATGGGTGGTGGCAGGTTGAATGAGAAACCATGGAGTGGCTTAGAGCAACTTGGGGTACATACAAGAAAGAGTGGAGAATTTGTCTTTCCAGCTGCAAGCAGCCGTGTGTCATGAGGTCGCCAAGGCAGTGTTAGATACCCCAGAACCTCAGAGCTTTGGGGGGTATCTTAGAGCTTTGGATATCTTAGAGCTTTGGATATCTTAGAATAGTTGCCTTGTTACTACACAAAGTTTCTGCTGAAGGATAGCCTAAGATGAAGCAAACTGAATTGAATTTGAGCCATGAAAGCAGCACATCTCATACTTTTCTTTACATATCATTTGGATAGAACAAAACATAAAGGAATCACACTTAATAGTTTACCCCTTTGAATGAATACTCAAACATAGCTTCTATAAAAACAATTAGTAATATTTTCTGTAATACAAGATCCTCGTTAACACAGCATAATTTGAGAACTAAAATGCTTGGTTTAGTAATTTTTAAGTTAATGTGTAATGTATGCATTGAGAAACAAGTTCAGAATGCATTTCTCAGTGAAATAATACTTCTAAAAGTACCGAGCATAATGTTTGGGAAATAGCAGACTTTTAGTCAATATTAGTTTCTTTTAAGTTTTCGCCATCTGGAGGGCCTGTTTTATCTGTGTAGCATAGAATTTGGCTTATGCGTAGCACTAGGCAAAATCTCATTAGTCTTTTTAAAATTAGTCATTTAGCTCCATTTCAGCATTCTATTATATTCACTGACGAAAAGCTGTGTATGTCATATCACGCTGTATGAAATGGGCCTAAAGCAGAGATAAAGAATTCTCTGGTACCGCTTCAAATTGTCATACAAATTAGCTGGTTAAATTGATTCACTACAAAGCCTGATTTACCAAATAGTTTCCAAATAAGCATTTTCACTTACTCTTTTATTTGAGTTTAGATGTGATCTGAGACCCCGCCGGGCCTAGTCTCAGAAACTAGGTTGAGAATCCTAAAAGATTTCTTTCCATTTGTTCACTGCTTTAACCTTTCTGAAGATAATTCATATCCATTATTTTTTTTTCAGGAATGTGGCATATTTACTAAGGCCTTATCAAACCTCTTTAAAAATCAATGTTTTCCAAAAACGAAATTGAACCTTAAGTTCAATTTCTGCTAAATTCTGTCATTCTTGTGTATTTCTAATTTGATTGGGGGTTTTTGGATGCCCTGAGGTGCCCTTGGCTCCATCTGTCCCATGACTATTTTCATTGAAGCCACAGTCTTTCTGTGTTCATTTTTCACACTCCGACCTCTTCCCCTAAAACCCTGAGCACTGTAGTCTGGATCACCCTTATTTTTTTTTTTTGCCATCTGTTGGTCCTCACCTGTTCATTCAGTTGGCAGGCCTGGAGCATGGGGAGGTGCCATGCGTCTGATCAGTGGGGGCCCCAAAGATGAATGTGGGAGCTGTAGTCTGGTCAACCTAGCAACTGCTTAGTGTGCAGTTTCCTGCCTGTCACGTGGCACAGCCCCTTATGGATGGTGTGTTGAAGAAGAATCAAGAGATGGTTGCATGCATGTCCTGTTCCTTCTTTCTGGGTGTTAGTGATGCCCATGGGGCCCCAGATGTCCCATTTCTCAGCATGGCCATCTGGTCGTCCCAATTTCATCATTAAGTGTTTATCTCTATCAGATGATCAGCTTACTCTGCTGTCCTACCTTTGTCCTCATCACCAAGGAAAAGCTGCCACCTCAGACCCTGCCCAGCCTTTGGAGGCTGCCCTGACAATAGGCAAAATGGGCACAAGGAGTGATATCTCCTGGGCAGAAGTCTGGTGGAGAAATGCATCTTGGTAGGACAGGAAGCTCGTGGCATCGCGTGGAAGATGTACCTCCTCAGACTGGGTTTGTCCCACAGACATGTTTTGTCTCTGTTACGTAGTTAATTTCCTGAGCCGTCAATGCTTACAAATTAGGGAATTTCACATGAAACTCAGATTTCCAACTTCTTATGAAAAAAAATCAGATATTCTGTGGGATGTGGGCGAAAGATGTCAAAGATGACTGTTACAGGTCTGGGGCCTGCACAGCTGGAGTAAAGGAGTCACCATTTCCTGAGACGGGAAAGACTGTGGGTGAAGCAGGTTAGTGAGGGCAAGGATTGACCAGAGATGTATTGAATGAGTTAAGCTTGGGGTGCATTAAGTTTGAGGTGCATATTAAACGTCCTAGTGGAAACATGGAATAGGTAAGGAGGTATAAGAGTTGGGAATTAAGGAGAGAGGTCTGGGTGAGACATAACTAATGGACTTGTCAGCACATAAGCAATATTTATAGCCAGGTGACAAGGTGATGTAACCAAGAATGTGATTATGATAGAAGAGCGTCCTGAAGACTGAGCCTTGAGGC